TTCTTTGACCTTCTGGGATGCCACGGCCATTGGAGTAGACCTCTGAGCAGCCTCCATTTTCTCTTTCAAACCTTGAATTCTCAAGGGGACAGAAGAAGACCCAAGTCCCAGTGATTTGCCCTTAGGGGTAGACCGAGGACTCTGCTCAATGATTTTGGCAGCGGCCTCCATTATGTAAGCTGCATTCTTTGGTGGGATGAACCCAGGACTCTTGATAGGAGATAAGAGCCTGTGCTGAGTAATGGAAATGGGCTTAGCAGTTTTTGGAGCCAATACCTCACTTTGAAACCTCTCAATTGGTCGACTATGCAACTTCTGCAGACTCGGGTCCACAGGTATCCTAGTGAAGCCATCCACTTTATTCCGTATGTTATCAAAGATTACAGTATCACGTTCATTCTGAAACACGGGGGTTCCCAAGTAACGAGAATCTCTGAAAGAGTGAGACTCAATAAACGGAGTAGAATAGGGATCAGAAACGTTTGAAGTTGGCAATGAATCCAATCCCATAAGACGTGCCACAACTCCAGGTGCTTTTGTTCCACAATCTGTATCGCCGCTTGTTGATGAACTATAATGGTAATCAATATGTCTTCTAGCATTTGGACCGAACTCATTTTCAAGCCCATTCACCTAAAATACATGGCAACATACTAATCCTAAACACCAATTGCTTAATTTATCAATCGCCTAGTGTGAATAAATAGAAAGTAAGATCGGAGAGAATTACCTGCTGAAGTCGTGAAATAGCTGAACCATTAACATTTTCTTTCCCTTGTTTAGAACTCTCTGAAGCAAACAAATTATTCACAGCATTAAAACAGCATAGGAAATAGATTAAACCCTGTCGAAGGGGAAAAAGTAAAGATCTAGAAAGTTTGAACTGGGAAGGGTAAATCAGGAATTACCAGGTAATTCAGATCTACCAGAGAAGAGCTTCTTTCGAGATTTAACATTCCAATCAAACAACTGAAAAAAGCCTCCCTTTAATCCCTTTTTTTCAACCTCCATTTTTATTGTGTTATGCTCACAACACTTCACGTGGAGAACCAAAAATTTCTAACAATTCTGAAGCTTCATCTCATCAGTGCATCGAAAATTTTAATATATTGAATTGACAAAGAGGGAGAAGAAAAGAAGAAATTCATGTAACTGAGCTTGCGCTGCTCATTTCATACTCATACAACATTTAGATTCAGGAATAGAACCCAAAGAAAACCCTAATAAATCATTCAAAGGAAGCACACAAAATTTTCATCAAGGTCAAGAAAATCTTTAAGCACCTAACAAGAAAAGAAAACTGGACCTTCAACCAAAATCTGACGATCGCACCACCGCACAGTACATTACTCAAACATTCATACCCAATGAATCAAAAATACCCAAAATTCAAGAATACACACAAGCATAAAGAAATTCAAGAAAATTGAGAAAACAACTTTCATTAAAAAAATATATAAAATTGCAAAACCATATGGTCAAACCTCATTTAACAATCATTCAAACTAGACTTAAATTAAAGTAATTACAAGTCTTTTATGCATAGTTATGCATAAAACATAGCCACATTGGAGTGGGCAGTCCTTAAAATGAAGAAAAATATGATCTTTCCAAATGAGACTTACCAGAGAATGCACATAGTCAAATCGCCGAGCATCGAAAAGTTCAAAGCTTAATTTTTTGCTAAATCGCTGCAGATAAGTAAAAATTGAGTGGAGGTGAAGATCTGTAATGGATAACAACAAAAAGTTACTATAAGTTTTGAAATTTGATCAGCAATGTACTAGCGGATTAGAGAGAGAACGAAGACAAACAGAAGGAGCTGGTAACGAAATGAGAGAAAATGGGACGAGTGGAGGAATGTGAGAGAGCAAGGAGAGAGGGGGGTTTGAAAATAACGAGAAATGATTTATTTATTTATTTTAAGAAAAAATTATTGTAAAATTATTTAATTGAAATAATATATAGTTAAAATGAGTTTGAGAAAAAATAATTTTTAAATAAAACTCTATCAAATAAACGTTATCTCTACCGTTTGTAAGTAGACGAGTTTGTTGTTTAAAAAAAGTTGAATTAAAATGTAAGTAGGCTCAAAGTTAATGTTTGTGGCACATAAGTTGAATTAAATGTTTTTTTTAGAAGTTATTTATTTTTATTTTTTTGTGTGTGTGTAAATTTTAGATTAAAAACTATGTAAAAGTTATATGAAAACGTAAAATGATCTTTTAAAATAATGAATGTTGAAGATAAATAAAATTTGAGTAAAATTTGAATTTGACCATTTATTCAGTAGACATCAATATCGAGTGAATAGAAAATCTTACCATTTATCTGCAATGTAGATTGAAATTCAGAGAATGCATTAAACGTCACCTAACTATCTCGTTGACCATACTTGGTCTCATGTGCCTTAATTTTTATAGGTTTAATCTACAAATTACTACGAAAACATGTTTTATATTATTAATTAGTACATACGGTTATCCAATTTATATGACGCTAATATATACTCTCCAAGTTTACTCTCAACACTTCGGCTTAGATGCTAGAAAACTTTGTTAGTGGTCCAACTTGCTTCCAGCCTATGTCGAGTTTATATAGTCAAATTAAAAGCATATACGTAGGAGTCACCACTTCCTAGTTCCCGCTCTAGAAAGACCGAGTGATCAATCCGCCTAAATGAAAAAAAGTCATCTCAACGCATAAAAGTAATATTCAATAATTTTTTATTTCTGTTAAATTTTATTCCTAGAATAAAAAATCGATAAAAACACAATTGCGGACATTTTTGGTACACATAATTGACAAACACTAGATTAAAAAATGATAATTTTAAGTATTTTTCAATGCAGTATATGAAACTATCAATGCAACATCTTGTTGATCTTTCAAAATTTTATTAAGAACGTAGTTTCCAAAAGAGATATAGAATGATGTAAAAATGTATGCTCTCAAATTAATCTATGTTTCATAAGTCACAAGCCAAGTTTAGGCAACCCTTAATCATACAAACTTCATAAAATTGATATTTTTTGCCCTTCTGGTATGTTGTTTTCCTTCTAACCCTCGTTGGTTCATGCTGTGAAATTACAAATGTTCAAATAGAACTTGATTCTTGAGAAAAAAAAATTCAAGTTGAACCAAAAAATCACAGATTGCTCCATTTAACTCCGATGACTTTTTCACCGTTTAAAACAATAACACATCATGATAAAGGTGAACATGAGATCGATTGGAAGGAATTGATCGCTTTAACAACTATTAGTGCACATCAGATTTAATAACTGATATATCAAATCTAGTGTGTTAGTCACATTAACAGAGTGACCAATATGTGTGTTACCTAATTTATATGTCAAAGGTAGAAAAAATCAAGGTTAACAACAATCAAACTGGACGTTCACTCTTTGACACATTGTATCCTATAACTGGCATGGTATCCCAATAGTCGAAGTTAGAAAATCAATGCGTTGAAAGATTTGAGTTAATTCGTCTTTACTTAACTTGGAAATAATTTGACTAGCATACGAGAATATATCGCTCGGGATGAGATGAATTATGTAAAGGAAGGACATGCTTGACTTTGTACTAGGCAAGAAGAGGAACGAGTACGAGCCACATTAAGGGAAACTTGTACTTGGTGGATCTCAATATNGAAATATTAAGATAGCTTTCATGTTCAGTGTTGTTGTTATTGCTATACTCCTGCTTGTCCAGTAGTCCCTGCAAATGAAGAGAAAGTAAGAAAACTGACCTATGAAATGCATACAAAATTACAAATAGATGAAAACTCAACCAAGATAGGATTTCACAAAAAATTCTGAGCAAATGGGAGATTAATTGGGGGAAACAAACCTGTAAGTTAAATAAGTTTTATGATGCAACACACCATTGAGGACCGTATGCTCTGATACGGACAGAGAAAAGGCGGAATATTTGAAAAGGGCCATCAAACCGAAGATTGTAGTCTGGTTTGGCCTCCCCAAAATTTCAAATAGTTGTTGAGCCAAAAACTTTATTTTTTAATTTACTATGTGTGCAATTTTCACTAACTTCAGATTTCGTAAAATATTTCTAACAAAATTTCTGGTTATACCCTAGTCTGAACTAAAAAAATTCCAGAAGAGTAAATGTTGGTCAATAGAATTTGTTTATAGGTCAGCAATTCATTTTCATCGAATGAAAGAAAATTAGCTTGTTTCAATTCTTCCCCTTAGGCATGCTTAATTCAGCACATAATATGGACCAAGCATTGAATAGGGGAAAGTATTATTCGTGTAGACAACCCAAAATATTCTAGAGAAGTTTACTTTACTGTTGCTGTTGCTGCTCTCCATGTAGGGAATCCCAAAAAGTGGCAATGGAAAACTTATAAACAAAGTTACAGTAAAACGTGAAATACCTGGTGCTCTTTCACTTCTTTCAGCCAAAGTTTGTCAACAAAAGGGCTATCGAAGTTATTTTGAGATTCCCATTTGCCTTCATTTAGATCATCTTTTTCTGTAGGGTTAACCAATTTTATGGTGGGCCCCGTATTCTGGTAGCTGTTGGCAATACTAGAAAAAGAACTAGCTTCCAACAGCTCTTGCTGGGACATCTCAACTCTAGACGTCAGTTCTTTAAGCTTGTGCTCCAAAATCACACTAAGTGCATCCCTGCCTATAATATTACTTGCCAAGGAAGATGCATCTGAATTTTTGAAGTCAGATTGATGGTCAGAAGGATTGCTAATGGGAGATGATGACTTAGTCACTTCCAACATTTTACTAGATGAGCTGGATGCAGCCCCCGATTTTTTAATTGGAGATGTAAATGTGAAAGACACGACATCCAAGCCATTGTTCCTGTCAAATGCATCCCACTTAGTATTCCCTTCAACTGAAACATTACATTTTACCAATCTTTCATCTTTTGCCATCAATATACTTTCAGCAAGTGCTCTATCAGATTGGATATTCCTATTAATTGGTTGTTTCTTTTTCACAGGTGTATTTACTCTAGAGGATGAAAACTCTTTTCCAGCATCAGTGGTAACTGAATTTGTTTTCCTGGAAGGAACTACATTGTTTACAACAATCTTACTTACAGTCTTACTTCCTCGCCCATTAATGTAGTTGGTGGGCAGATCTTTTCTATCTTTTTGTTGAGAAACTGAAGGCTTATAATTTCCTTCCACCCTGTTGGACACACAATTCTGCTTTTGGTGATTTTGCCTGAGCACATCAGAAGGCCTGCTCAGTGAACTTCTCTTTTCCATTCTTTTTGGTGCATTGGACTGATTCCTGCCGACAAAGTTGGACTTGATCTCATTATGTTCCTTTTGCTTCTCAGAACTTCCGTTACCAACTTGAATTAGTTCCTCCTTTTTCTGGATGTTGCCATTAGCTTGAACTACTGATTTTTCCTTGCTCTTAAGTTTTTGAGAACCAACACGTTTAGACTCTCCAGAACCTTTGATTGAATGTGCATCTTCTGATCGATCTTGACCTCTGCCACTAAGCAGTTTTTTTATGTTCTTAACGGAATTAGGTTCTTTGACCTTCTGGGATGCCACGGCCATTGGAGTAGACCTCTGAGCAGCCTCCATTTTCTCTTTCAAACCTTGAATTCTCA